TTGTCACATGGAGCTATCCACCCAATTCTATTTCTCATTGAATATTTAATCCACTGTCTTAATAAATTATTTTCTAAAAATCATTATATCATCACATATTATTCTTCATTATCCTAATAAAAATCTAAAAATACTACAGATTGCATATAAAACCAATAATCTAGGAATGTTTTCACAGATAATTATTTTCGAAACGTGATGACATGAAGAATAATGCAATAACAATTTCAGAGTCCCTACGAATAATAAGAAAATTGATCAACCAGTCGGTTGAATCGAACTGTCGGGCCAGAAAAAAAAATGACAAAGCAACCGGTATGACTGATAATTGACGTAATTTGTTTGTCTTTCGATATTTTACAGGTGAACTGTATGTCGAGGATCTTGGTGAAAGGAGAATGGTATCGATCAGAATGGGTTGGCTGTGGGTCGAGGGAACACCAAGTCTAGCTCTGAGGGCACTGAACCTTCGTCAGGCGTCGCCAGGAATATGTCAGCCCCATGCATTAGCACTTGGATTTACATTGAGCAACACCAACGGCCATCCACTTGCTACCTTTTGGGTAATCACGAAAAGAAAATCCCAAATGAAAGTCAAACCAAATCGATAGGTCAAAATTCCTTATACTTATGGATTTATCCGGGGACGTATTGAGCCTACATGAAAACACTAGAGAACTTTTTGGTAGATAATTACATCCCCGAGAAAAATGTCCTGATGATATTTTCCCCCAAGACCACTGGGTATCGAGATAATTATCAATTAGTGTCAAAACCGCCCACACGTGATCGTGGAGGCACTGGAGAACGAGGAAGAGACATTCAATTGTGAAAGTTTTCTATTGATTTTTATGGGACATCCATCCTGATATTCGATAACGCACCCTCATGTCTTCCAACTCGGTGATTCTCTCAGTTGTTTCTTATTTCTTTCCTAGTTTCTCAATTTCAATAGTAAATATTGTCAGGCTACGCTATCGATTCAACTCTGGGAGATACATCCGAGTTGAATCGAAATAGTTCAGCAGATATTTCTGGTTGTATAAACATTTATCTTGGGAAAGATCTCCGGAAATCCTCAATCAATTCGTGCGAAGTGCAAATTCCCACACAAAACCCATTACGTGATACATGAGGCTCGGGTGTTTACAATAATGTTATTTATTTGATAAACCCGCGGTTCTAAGAAATAAAAACATCACAGGCCTTTTTTGTAATGGAAATTACAAGAAAAAACACCAACGGTCCTTGTATCTTCTCCTTTTCTAATTGCAAATGCAAATTTAATTATCTTCTTTCATTTTAATTAAATTCAACGAAACTTTTACGAAATAACAAGAAACTGATAAAAATTATCACCTTTATCAACTTTCAGCACTCAATCTCGAATTTATAATTAATATTATTGATTATTAATCATAATTGTTGACATCAATGTAATTTGCTTCCATTTCTTAATAATGAAATCATTTTTTTCCACTCAACATCGAATATAATTCGTTCACCCGGCGATAAAAATTCGGTTTTCCTCACGTGTTAATTAAATTAGTACTTATAATTAATAATAATCGATAAAACTAATTTAATTGAATTCCATTTTTTCAATGAGATAAATTCTTTCTTCGGAATTCCGAATATAATAAGTTTATCCCACAATAAAAGATGAATTTTAAAAAATTGCTAATTATAGTCTCGTCTTCTTGATTATAATTTTTTCCAGTAATGATGACAATTACCATTCGCGTATATGGAGATTAGCGTGGGAAGTTGATTCATATGAAAAGTGTGTCGTTACGCATTGATTTGCCGCCAAATACGTGTGACTATGCAATACACAGGGGTCTCCCCCCCCCTCCCAAAGCGATTATTTAATTCTCCATGAAGAAAGAGAAATATCCGAGCAAAATGTTACATCCATTTTATAACTATTAGAACGTACACATTCTATCCGACGAATAATCGGTGGTTTAATTGAAACAGCCGTAATCACGCGGGATTTTCATGCGAGTAAATGAAAAAAAAAAAATGTAAGTAAATGAGTGAAGTGATCGTGATGTAGACTGATCTCGTGAAAGTGTTTTACGCTCAGGGGGAAAATACGGGGAGGGGGACAGATCGTGATGATGATAAAGGATAATTTACATTAAATTACGCTCCACACGGTGGATAAATTATCTGCAACACTTTCGGCCTCACTTCGCTGAAAATTTTAGCGTGTGCTTTAATGAGATGTGGCATGATCTCGGTTTCAATGGCCAAGATCATGTCTCATTCTATCACTTGATTTTTGACATTGTAAATTATTCTGTTATTATTTCGGTGTAATTATTATTTACCGTGGAACAAATTTGATTACATGGGCAATTCGTCACGAAACGTTTTATCAGA